TTCACCTTGAAGAGCCATCGGCCATCGACTACGTTCATCCCAGGTGGGGGAACTGTGTCGACGTAGGTGCAGGTGGATCTCCAAGATGCCATCTCCTTCTCCATGGCAGCTATCCACTGAGAGGCCCAGGGTCCCGAGGTTGCCTCAGCGTAAGTGCGAGGGGTCGGGATATCAAAGGTGTCTTGGTCACCCTCAAGGACTAGCTGCATCGAGCAGAGATGGGGAACAGCCTCGGACAGGAAAGCAAACTCGTACTGCCTGTCCTCTATGACGTCACTGCCAAGGCAAGGACCACCCCCGACGGACGGAGGACGAACAGGGTCAGAGACCAGAGCGGTGGCGTAGTCAAGGCGGTGGATAGAGGCAAATTCAGCGACAGCATCGACAAGAACGTCAAGACTCGAGAGAGGAACAGACGGGTTGGTAACGAGGGAGGCAAGGACCCGAGGAACAAGAGGACGAGCAGCACGAAGGTAGTCAGACAGAGGGGGAGGCGCGACAGCGAGCGATGACGGAGGAGGCGAAGGCAGAAAGAGAAGACGAGACGTGTGGGAACGAACGAACATAGGGTGAGAACGCGGAACAGGGGAGACAGGACGAGCACAAGAGGGACGGCGAGACCAGACGTGAGACAGAGGCGTCAGGTCAGGAGACAGAGGAAGAGTAACAGGAGGGGAAGGTGGGAAACGAGTCGAGGACGAGTCCAGCGGAGGAAACACAGGACCGTGGACAAGAAGGGGAGGAGGCAGGGGGGGAGGCGCAGGCGAGCGATCAGGGGAGTGAAGGCTGAGCAGGCGAAGGGCGGACACCGGCGGTGACTACTGCTGCTGCTGCTCGACGTCGACACCTGGACCACCAGCTGCACCACGGCTACCTCCGGAACACTCCACTCCTGCACCCCCTGAACGAGCACCCCCAGAGCGAGAACCCTCTCCAGCACAGGTGCCACCCCCGAGCCCGCCGGGACAAGCCACAACAGGAACCCCAGGACTAGCACCCTCATCAACGCCAACACCCCCAGAGGCCACGAACGGCTGCTGCTGTTGCGGCGGCGGCGGCTGCGGCAGCGGCGACTGTGACGGCGGAGGAGGAGACATCGAGGGAGAGACTGGCGACAAGAACTGCGCCGGAGGGCCACCAGAGTCAGCCGACTCCTCGACCGGGACAACCGACAGGAGGGGAGTGACGTGAGACACACCAGACGGAGCAGGAAGGGGAGGAAGGTGAGCAAGGGCTACCGGGGGGGTGGGGATCAGAAACAGGGGAGGGGAAACCGGGAGACCTCGGTGGGGAACGTGATGGTAAAAGGAGACAGACTCGTTGAAAGTGGCGTCATGGGAGTGAAAGAAGCGGTGATACGGCGGGTTGTAAAAGTGCCAATCAGAGGAGTCCAGGGGGAAACCGAGGAAGACACAGGGGACAGTGCGGGCAGTGAGCTTGTCCGTGCCAGAGGCATGAACGTTAGCAAGGCAGCCCCAGACGTGGAACGCGGACGCGTCACCAGGGAACCCGGTCCAAAGAAGGGTCGGCGAGACCTGCGGCCACTGGGAGCGTGGCCTGAGGTTAAGCTGGTGAGCAGCGTAGCGAACGGCGAACGGCCACAGAAAATGGGGTGCACTGGTATGAATCATGGAGGTACGAGCCACCTCCATGACCAAGCCGATGCGTCGCTCAGCGACCCCATTCTGCTGCAGGGAGTCTGGTAGGGTGTACGACTGGGTGATGCCCTCCGCACGACAGAACTGTTCATGCTGACCAGAGGCTAACTCGCTGCCACGGTTGGTGTGGAGACACAGCACAGGGAGACCGTTGTGGAAGCGCGTGGCTACGGCCTTCGGGATAAGAACGTTGGGCATGTCAGCCTTCCGCTCCAAGTGAAACACCGTGGTGTAGCACGTGTTGTCGTCAATGAGCACTAGAAATTAGCGCTCACGACGCGGTCCAGGGAGGAGGGCTGGGCCCTAGACGTCCAGGTGCAGGGTCTGGACGGATGCGGTGGTAGGACAAACGAGGAGGAGTGAGGAGCACAGCGCAGCCGGCCCGCGACGCAGGGCGTGCACGGCGGCACAAGTGAGGGAGGGAGGGCAGGAAGCGACGCAGGGATACATAGGATGAGACCGTGTTGGGACATGTGACGCAGACCGGGGAGCACGGGGTGACCTAGACGGTGGTGCCACAGAAGCGATGGGTGAGTGAGCAACCGACACGAGCACGGAGCGGCGACTTGGGTAAACACAGGACCTGGGGAGGAGACCCCACCACAGGGGGGAAGCAGTGTCCAGCTTAAAGAGGCCAGACACCAGGTCCCGGGGGAACGTCGCAAGGGGGGAACCTGAGGCGGCCTCAGTACAGACGGCGTACCGCTTGTGACCCGAGAACGTAGTGGTGACGCCGAGGTCCTGAAGACAACCGACACCGACTAAGTTCCGGGAGAACGAGGGGATGTGCAGGCCTGTAAGGGAACCAAGGGGACCGCTGGACAGGGAAGGGTAGTGTAGCTGCGAGCAACTTTAGGACCACAGGAGGGGTCAGCAAGTGCGATAGCGGCAGGCGCGGCAAGCGACGTAAGCGCAGTGTAGTTACGGAAGAAGCAGGCAGACACACCGGAGTCAAGTGTGAAGGACAGCGAAGCAGTAGCGGCAGACGAAGGAGGAGCGAGTGTGGAGCCTAGGCTAGACAAAGCAAACGGTCCTACGCCTGACGCAACAAGGGTCTCTATACTACACACAGATGCTACGCCTAATCTAGAGAACAGTGGACACACTAGAAGCGTCAGCATACAGAGAATGCAATGCATGTTTAATCTGATCCATGTCTTGGTCAAAAACAGGCACACCGTGGCGCAGCAGACTGGGCCAGTCAGGGAGGTCCGGGGCCGGGCCGAAGTGGCGACGAAAGAGGTCGTCGAGGTGGCGGAAGCAGCAGGCGGTTGGGTGCGGGCGGCGGCACACAGTGCCACGATGGGGCCCGGTCTGGAGCTGGTACTGGCAGCCCACAGCACCGAAGCCACCGGTAGACGCCGAGCTGCGAGGACCGCCAACTCGGCCACCCGGTCCAGGGGCTCCCGGCCACCCCAACGGGAGGGGGGCCCACGGCTGCTCTTGCTGCGACTAAGCGATGGTGCGCTGGCGAGTCTCTATCTCAGAAAGGGCAGTGACAAAAGCGGTCAGGGTGAGGTCACCAGGGTGCTGGCTAAGAAAGTGGTCGCGGGCAGTGGCGAAGCGGTCGAGCAGGCGCATGGCAATAAGGTACAGGGTAGCGCAGAACCGCGGGGGGAAGGCAGGGAGCTGGGCAGTAGTGCTAGCAGCGCGATAGCAAGTCTCTAGTGCACGGAGGTGAGTGGCGAGATCAGCGACAGTCGGGAAAGCAGAGAGATCGGGGAAAATCATGGGGAGGATCAAGCGTCCAGCTGAGGCGAAGGCAGGCATGGAGTAGCATGCAACTACGGCATCTAAGAAGTCTTTGGCGTTCGCGACAGCAGTGAAACGCGGGCGTTCAGAAAGAGGGAGCGCATGATTAATGGCATGTTGCGCTACAGCATCGCGAGAATCCCAGACAGCGCGAGCTAGCGCCACAGCAGCAAAGGCCTCACTCTCAGCAGTGGTGGGGTCAGCAGGGAGGGGATCAGGCGCAGAGGGGCGGGGAAGCAAGCCATCAAAATGCATAGCCAGGGAGTGCCCATCCTGGCGCCGGCGAAGATCGACAAGCCAGGCGGCGAAGTCGATCGCGCGCCCCTCCGTGTCCAGACGTAGCATGGCATCTGCCATCGCGAAACCGAAGCGACACTTGGACACAGCGGCACAGGGACACAGCGGCGCAGCAGCACATGGACACAGGTACTCAGCTGCACGGCGATACAGCGACGTGGCGGCTGGACTCTCCGGAACAGGGACCGGGCGCGCGAGGAGCCGGAGGGCGCGCAAGCGGGCTGAGGCACACGAGGGGCCGGACAGGCAGTAGGGTCCGGCTAGGCGGTGGGGGGGGGGGGGGGGGGGGGGGGGCTAGGCGGTAGAGGGACCGACGGCGGCGCTAGAAGGGGTCGGCTAAGCTCAGAGGGCCGGCTAGGCACGAGGGGTGGGGGGACGGCTGGGCGCGAGGGGCCGGCTTGGGCGCGAGGGGCCGGCTAGGGCGCTAGGGGCCGGCTAGGGCACGAGGGGCCGGCTGGGCGCGCGGGGCCGACTGGGCGCGCGGGGCCGGCTGGGCGCGAGGGGCCGGCTAGGGCTCGAAGGGCCAGCTAGGGCGCGAGGGGTCGGCCTGGCGCGCGGGGCTGGCTAGGGCGCGAGGGGCCAACTAGGGCACGAGGGGCCGGCGACGGCGCAAGGGGCCGGCCAGGGCGCGAGGGGCCGGCTAGGGCGCGAGGGGGGGGGGCGGCTGGGCGCGAGGGGGGGGGGGCGGCTGGGCGCGAGGGGCCGGTTGGGCGCGAAGGGCCGGCGACGGCGCGAAGGGTCGGCTAGGGCGCGAGGGGCCAGCTGGGGCGCGAAGGGCGCGCAGAATGTATGTATAAGTTTACAGCCCCAACATGTTCGCGTGGTTCTCGGCTAGCTCTGTTCGTGCCTATAAATGCCTCGGCCCTCATTTGTATTGACACCCTTGAATCAAGACTCCTTTATTACACTACGTGTTATTACTCTGATTAATTCATAACAGCTGGTATTCATAACATAGCTTGGTGTTGGGTGCTGAAATTTCGCGCGCCTCTGTCAGCTTTCCACCCCGCGTCATGTCTGACACATGTGCCAACGCAAGTCGCGCTTTGTCTCAGTTTCCCTTTCGCTACAGTCGCCATAACCACCCGACATGTTTCGCCAGCTTTGAAAGGCCGGCTTGGTTTTTTGTCGCAGTGTCGCATCAGCGCAGCCAATGCCTCGGCCTGGAGGCCACCGCCTGCAAGCGGCGATCCTTCTGGACGCTGCGGCAATCTCGAGGTCGCAGTGGCAGTGGTGTGGTCCCCTGGTTGAGTTCAGGCCTCCTAGATAACATTGTGCTTCATTTCTTGTGTCTTCGAGATCCCGATTAGTTTTGGCAGCAACCTTTAGGGGGACCCGCCATGGATCCAGTACAGGCCTTTGCTGACCTGATTGGCACTCCGCGCCCAGCCGCGACTTTCTTGCTAGCTAGTTTCGCCTTCGTGCCTATCGCTTGGCTTCACAGATTCGTCTCCTCGCCTACACTCCGCCACTTGTACTGCACAGTAACGGGACTGATATTATCGGCGTGCGTATTCGGATGGACTGCCGACGCGCATTTCTTCGCGTGCATCGTCTATTCCATAGCCGTCATGCGCCTGTTCCGGAGGCAATGCGGCTTCCTGACATTCCTGGGAACGTTCGCATATCTAATCGGATGGTAAGCTTCTGTTCGTGGCGCTCCCTTCTTCGTGCGTCCTGCTCTCCAAATCAGCGGAACGGTAACAGCTTTTGGTAGTAAATAGTAATCTGCGTACACGAAGTTGTAAAGCTCAATCTTTAGCACGATCGTTCTGCTCCTTCTGAGGCCTCGCCCGTTCTCTCTCTTTTCCATCTCTCGGACTCCACCCCTACCCAGCGTCTGCGTCACCTCGTGCATCTCACTCACCCGAACTCTCCCGGCCATATGTCCTTTCGGCCCTACCCTCTCGATTTCGTTATAATCGTGATACAGAAGTTGCGAGCTTCTCCGTGTTCATCGCGACGCTTCCTCGGCTTACCGTTCACCGCTGCACTTCCCCCTACTTGTTGTCACGTGCACTTCACTCCCTCATCTTCCTCCGGCCACATAATCATGGCGGCCATGGGCCGCATTCACCACTTCGCTTCCTTGACTTTCCCCTAACTTTCAGCTCATCCCGTGCATTTGCCTTGCTCGCCCTTCGCCAGCCACATCATCATGCGCACTCACGAGACCCGCACGGAGGGCGTGCTCGACTGCACCGGCGCGCTCACCGTCCTCGCTACAAAGCTCACCGCCGTCGCGTATAACTACCAGGACGGGCTCACGCTGCTCAAGGAGAAGGATCAAGGCGCGAAGGCGAAGGACGCGCAGGAGAAGGAGGAGTTAACCGACGAGCAGAGGCGGCGCGAGGAGCGCATGGAGCGTTCGCGATTGGAGCGGCGAAAGGCGGCGCTGGTTACCATGCCTTCGTTGCTGGAGCTGATGGGGTACCTCTTCTGCTTCGGGCTGCACATGACCGGCCCGTTCTTCGAATTCAAGGCGTACGACGACTGGACCACGAAACAAGGGGTACGTACGACGAACGCGTTTTTCAGTATCCGCGTGCTGTGCTGTGCTCTTCTGCTTCGGGCTGCACATGGCTGGACTTCTCTTCGAGTTCAAGGCGTATGACCACTGGACGCGCGGACAAGGGGTGCGCATGGCGAACGTGCTCCCGTATCCATGTGTTGTGCTCCCGCATCCATGTGTTGTGCTCCCGCATCCATGTGTTGTGCTCCCGCATCCATGTGTTGTGCTCCCGCATCCATGTGTTGTGCTCCCGCATCCATGTGTTGTGCTCCCGCATCCATGTGTTGTGCTCCCGCATCCATGTGTTGTGCTCCCGCATCCATGTGTTGTGCTCCCGCATCCATGTGTTGTGCTCCTACAACTCACATTCCTGCGTCGCCTCTCCCCACCATGTTGACGTGCCTTTGGCTATGCTGCACACGTTTTCTCACCTGTCTCCTCGTCTCCCGTTTCTGTGTGTCTTCCCTTCCCTCCGTTGATTTCCCCTCCCCTCGCCGTGCAGATTTGGTCCCCCACGCTGAAGCAGCCGTCCGTCCTCCCGCCCTTCTTCCGCGCGTTCGTGCAGGGCATCCTGGCGGCGCTCGTCTTCCTGCTGGTGTCCCCTTCCCTGGACCTCACGCGCATCAGCGACCCCCTCAAGAACCGCGCCTACCCCTTCCATCTGCGCTGGCTCTTCGCGCACCAGGCCAGCCTCGTCTGGCGCTTCCGCGCCTACATCCTCTGGAGCATCACAGAGGCCGCCATGGTCATTGGCGGGCTCGGCTTCACCGGCTGGGAGGCCGCCAAGGGGGAGGCTGTGAAGAGGGGAGGGGTGAAGGGGGAAGCAGCGGGGAAACAGCTGAATGGGAATGGGGATGGGGATGGGGATGCGAGCAAACCGGAGGATGATAAGACCTGTGCAGCGCCTGTTGGGGAGGGCAAGGCGCTGTGGAGCCGGGCTCGGAATGCAGACATCTTGGGGTTCGAGTTTCCCAAGAGCTGCCTCGACTTCGCCACCACCTGGAACATCAGCTACGGCCTCTGGCTGAGACTCTGTGAGTGATCACCTCTCTGGACCTCTCTGTGCCTCTCTGAACCTCTATGAACCGTCGCGACTTTGCTGCCATGTGGAATATTCCCTACGGGCCTCCGCATCCCCCCCTCGTTTCACTCCCCGGTATTCATGTGCTCCCAGCGCTCCACCCCTCCCTCTTGCCACTTCTCTCAGAAACCGCTCCCCTTCGATTCCCTGTCAACCCCCTGATCCCTGACCAGATGTGTACGAGCGCATGGTCCCCCCTGGCAGGAAGGCCAACTTCTTCCACATGCTCGCCACCATGTTCGTCAGCGCTGTCTCCCATGTGAGTGGCGCCCACCCCACACTTCCCTCTCTCGAACCTCTCTTCCATGTGAGTGGCCCCTGCCTCCCTCTCTCCTCTCTTCCATGTGAGTGGCCCCTATCTAACCCTCACCTCTCGCCCACGTGCATGTTCCTCCCCGCTCCCCCGTGTATGTGCTTTGGATGCAAGTGGTACAGCGAATTCTTGTCTCATTTCAATGGCATATGCTATTTCTCTAGTGCCACGATTGCGTCCTTAAAGCCCTGGGTCCAGAAACAACCACCCTTAGATTCTCCCTGTGTATGTTCACTGTCCCAATCCCTCTTTTTACTGCCCTGCGCTCTGTGTCTCTGCAGGGCCTGAATTGGGGCGACTTCATCTTCTTTGCCAACTGGGCGCTTGTTGTTGCCAGCTCTAAAGGTGCGGCATGGGATTTAGTGTTTAAGTTTGTGTGCGCTGAAGGAGCTGAACGTATGCACAATGGAGCTGTCAACTGGGATTGCAGAAAACGAGCAAACAGACCGGAAAGACGTTTGTAGCATGCACAATTTTCGCCCCCACTTCCTTTGCCATCTCGTTCCCATTCCTGATTTCCCGCCAGTGAAACTTCTCCTTTACGTTAGCACTCTTCCCCCCTCTTCCTCTCACTGGTTTGCACTTCTATCACATATCTCTCTCCCATATCCCTCTCCCTCCCTCCGTCTCTCATTTCTGTTTCTCCTCTTGCAGCCATCTACCAGCTGACCAGTGGTATCCCCAAGGGCACCATCGCCCACCGCATTGTGGCAGTGCTGCACACGCTCTACGGCATCTTTGTGTGCAGCTACATGGCCAGCGCCTTCTGTGTAAGTCTGCATATTCTTTTATTTACCCACTGGCGCTCAAACAAACCACCTCGCTGCAGTGATGGTCAATGTTACCTATGCCTCGTGCTGCCTGCTGCGTTCTGCTCACTGCCTCTTTTTCATGTGGGCGTGCTTGCTGTGGCTGTATATGTGCAGGTCATGACACTATCAGGCGCATACTCGGCCTACAGTGGCATGTACTACACCGGAACAATCATCCCCATCTTTCTCATTGTTTTGTCAATGGTGTACAAGCCCCGTCGCCCAAAGCGTGTCAAGTCAGAGTAGCATACGAGTAGGTAGCTTGACATGGTAGACGCATCTTTAGACAAGTTGGAAGCGTAGCCTGACACGGTAGAAGCATCGTTGGACAATGTATGAGCAAGCAAAAACACGCATGTATCATGCACATCAATGCATTTTTTCAAGGAGTACATAGACGTATTTGTCAAACATGTCTATGTGTTATGTTTGTATAGACTGTATAGGGTAGCCTCTTAGAGGGTACAACACTTAGCTATATTGTGTGTACTCTCTCTGTATCACTAACACTTCAATTTCTGATATGGTATCACGCGTAGGTAGGATCCCCCCCCCCACCTACCGCTTCCGCTCGCTCCCCTAGCCCCGTCGCGACCCCCCCCTAGCCCCGTCGCGCCCCTTCCTGGGACCCGTCGCGCCCCTCCCTGGGCCCCGTCGCGCTCCTTCTTGGACCCCGTCGCGCCCCTTCCCAGGCCCCGTCGCGCCCCTCCAGGCCCCGTCGCGCCCCTCCTGGGCCCCGTAGCGCCCCTCCTGGGCCCCGTAGCGTCCCTCCTGGGCCCCGTAGCGCCCCTCCTGGGCCCCGTCGCGCCCTCTCTGGGCCCTGTAGCGCCCCTCCTGGGCTCTGTCGCGCCCCTCCCAGACCCCGTCGCGCCCCCCCCTGGGTCCCGTCGCGCCCCTCCCAGGCCCTGTAGCGCCCCTCCTGGGTCCCGTCGCGCCCCTCCCAGGCCCCGTAGCGCCCCTCCTGGGACCCGTCGCGCCCTTCCTGGGCCCCGTAGCGCCCCTCCTGGGCCCCGTCGCGCCCCTCCCAGGCCCTGTAGCGCCCCTCCTGGGACCCGTCGCACCCCTCCTGGGCCCCGTAGCGCCCCTCCTGGGCCCCGTCGCGCCCCTCCCAGGCCCTGTAGCGCCCCACCTGGGACCTGTCGCGCCCCTCCTGGGCCCCGTAGCGCCCCTCCTGGGCCCCGTCGCGTCCCTCCCAGGCCCCGTCGCGCCCCTCCCAGGCCCCGTCGCGCCCCTCCTGGGCCCCGTAGCGCCCCTCCTGGGCCCTGTCGCGCCCCTCCTGGGCCCCTGCAGCGCCCCTCCTAGGCCCCCCGTCGCGCCCGCCCGGTCCTGTCGCACCAGCCTGGCCTCGTCGCCCACGCTCGGCCCCGTCCTGCTCGCCCGGCCCCGTCGCAGCCGCCCGGCCCCGTCGCATCAGCCCGGCCCTGTCGCGCCCGCCCGGCGCCGTCGCACCGGCCCGGCCCTGTCGCCCCCGCCTGGCCTAGTCGCCCCGGCCCGGCCCTGTCGCACCAGCCCGGCCTTGTCGCGCCCGCCCGGCCCCGTCGCGCCAGCCCGGCCCCGGCGTCCTCGCCCGGCCCGGTAGCACCTGCCCGGCCCCGCTGCCCCGGCCCCGTCCTCCTCCCTGGTACGGTTCCCCCCCACCTTGCCCAGCACAGCCCTGCACCGTACCGCCACGCACCACCCTGTACTGCCTTACACCGCACTGCACCGCACTGCACCTCACTGCACCGCACTGCACCGCACTGCACCGCATTGCACCGCACCGCACTGCACCGCACTGCACCGCACTGGACCGCCCTGCACCGCACTGTACCGCACTGCACCGCACTGCACCGCACTGCACCGCACTGTACTGCACTGCACCGCCCTGCACCGCACTGGACTGTTCCTGATGGCGGCGGAGCTTCGCTTCGACGCTGAAGGTCAGCCCCTAGAGTTCGAGGCGTGGCTTGCCGACCTCCGCCGCCAACTCACTGGCCAGCGGCAGGATGGTGAACCGCTTTCCGCACATCTTGACGGTATGCTCCCCTGCCCAGACCCTCCTGCTATTCTGCCCGCTGACCCCACACCCACTGAGCGTGAGTCTACTGCTGCCACTGCCCGTGCGCGCTCTGTCTGGCTTTCTCGCGATGCTGTCGCCCAGCTTGCCATTAGCAACGCCCTCCCCCCGTCCGAGCGTCCTCGCTTTAGATCCCTCACTACTGCTCAGGCATACTTAGATGCTGTCATCAAGCGCTATTCCACCCCTCCGGCTGCCTCGGTGGGTCGCCTGATCCTCCCGCTGCTCTTTCCTGACCTTGCTTCGTTCCCCACTGTCTCTGACCTCGCTGCCCACCTGCGCTCGATAGATGAGACCTGGCGCACCGCCTGCACTGACGCACAGCTTAGAGCCCACCAGCCGCCCATTACCTCTACCCTCTACCTGCTTGCCACCCGCCTCCCTGACCGCCTTGCTGTTGCCCGCGACCGCTTCCTTAGTGTTCACCCCGCAGACCTCACCCTCACTGACTTTGTCGACACCCTGACTGTGATAGAGACCCGTCACCGCTCCATCGCCCAGGCGAGCGGTGTCGTGCCTGTCCCTATCTTTCAGGGTTGTGCCCCCGCTCAGTGCACCTTCTCCGACGGCTCTGCCGCAGTGGCTGAGACTGCTGCTGCAGCGCAGGCCCGTTCTGGGAAGGGCCGCCGCCCCAAGGCTGGGCGCGGCGGAGGGGGCGGCGGGGGTGCGGGCGGGGGTAGTGGTGGGGTCGGGTCGCCTGGTGCTGGAGCGGACGAGGGGACCCTGCCCAGTCCAGCTGAGTCGCCGCCCCTGCAGTTGCAGCAGCCGCCGCAGTCGCAGCCTTCGCAGCAGCCGCACCAGCCGTTGCAGACGCGGCAGACGAGTGTCCTCCCGCCAGGGTGGCCCGGCGCTGGCGGTGGACGGGCGCGTGGTGGTGTGCCGCGTGGTGGCTCTGCCGGCGGGCGTTGTCAGTACCAGATCCAGACCGGTCCTCGCCGCGGCTTCGTTTGCGGTAAGATCGGTCACTCCACTCCCCGCTGTTTTCGTCGCCTGGACGACCTCTTTCGTCAGCGCTTCGGCCCGTCGCCAGACCTCCCGGACTGGCACAGTTTGCTTAGTCGACAGATTCAGATCTTTGATATGGACATGGATGCTATTGTTTCTGCTCTGCATGTGATGTATGCTGATGACTCTAGTGTGCTTCCGGCTTATTACTCACTGTTGCCTAGTGTAGGTGTGCCTAGTGTACCCTCCCCTGCTGCGTCAGGCGTAGGATCCCCTGCTTTGTGTAGTCTTGGTGCTTCTGCCGTCGTTCCGTCGCCAGCCCCCTCGGCTTCGCTTTCCTTCACCTTGGACTCTGGCGCCTCTCGGTGTTTCTTCCGCGACTCCACCACCCTGACGCCGCTTCCTGTTCCTGCTGCCGTTTCTCTTGCTGACCCCTCCGGCGGTCCGGTAGTCGCCCGCAGTTCCACCACCCTTCCCTGTCCGGCGGTTCCGTCGGGCTCTCTTACAGGTCTGCATATCCCCTCGTTCTCCAGGAACCTAGTTGGTGTCGGCTGCCTCCAGGACCTTGGCGTCACCACTACGTTCCCTGGTCACGAGCGGTATGCTGTCTGTACTGAGGCCGCCACTGGTGCCCCCCTGTCCACATTCCCCCGGGACCCGGTATCCGGCCTGTTCACTCTGGACACCGTGCTCCCCCCCGGCTGGAGCGCCCCCTCAGGTGGCTGTGTCTACCCAGGTTGCTGCTGCCTGCTCCTGTCGCTCCCTCACTCACCCGACCCTCCTGTGGCACCACCGCCTAGGTCACCCTGCGCTCCCGCGTCTGCGTCACATGTCCCAGCACGGTCTTGTCCTTGGTCTCCCAGGTTCACTCCCCGCGTTTCCCTCCTCTCCAGCTCCACCTTGCACGCCTTGTGTCGAGGGTCGGCTTCGCCGTGCCCCTCACTCCTCCTCGTTCCCCCCTACCGCCGCGCCGCTGCAGACCCTGCACCTGGACGTCTGGGGCCCCGCCCCCGTCCCTGGGCCGCGTCGCGAGCGCTACTTCCTTGTGCTTGTCGACGACTTCACTCGTTACACCACAGTCTTTCTCCTGGAGCGCAAGGCCGACGTGCCTGGCGCCCTCATCCCCTGGCTTGTCTCTGCGCGTGTCCACCGCGGTCTCCCTGTCTTGCGTCTTCACTCAGACCGTGGTGGCGAGTTTGCCTCCGGTGTCCTTGGTCGCTTTTGTCGTGCGGAGGGCATCACCCAGACGTTCACCCTACCGGACTCCCCACAGCAGAATGGGGTCGCTGAGCGACGCATCGGTTTGGTCATGGAGGTCGCTCGCACCTCCATGGTCCATGCCGGTGCACCCCATTTTCTGTGGCCATTCGCTGTGCGCTACGCTTCTCACCAGCTTAACCTGTGGCCGCACCCTCAGCAGCCGCAGGTTTCGCCGACCCGTCTGTGGACTGGGTCTCCTGGTGACGCGTCTGCGTTCCACGTCTGGGGCTGCCTTGCTCACGTCCGTGCCTCCGGCACGGACAAGCTCACTGCCCGCACTCTTCCCTGCGTCTTCCTCGGTTTTCCCCTTGACGCGTCCGACTGGCACTTTTACCACCCGCCGTCTCACCGCTTCTTTCACTCTCGTGACGTCACCTTTGACGAGTCCGTCTCCTACTACCGCCGCTTCCCCCACCGTGGTCCCCCGGTTACCCCCCCCCTGTTCCTGGTCACCCCTTCCCCGGTAGTCCCTGCCCCTCCTCCTCCTCCCCGTCCCGCCCCCTCTGGTGTCTCCCACGTCACCCCCCTTCCGTCCGTGGACCCGGTTGAGGAGTCTTCTGACTCTGGTGGCCCTCCGGTGCAGTCCTCGCCGGTTGCCCCTCCCCAGGTGTCCCCTCCCCAGTCCCCTCCTCCGCCGCCCCTGCCGCCGCTGCAGCCGTCGCCGTCGCCGCTGCCGCCGCCGCCGCCGCCGTCGCCGCCCCCGTTCGCTGACTCTGGGGGTGCTCGTCCCGGTCGCCCTGCGGGTGGTCCCTCTGGGGGTGCGGGTGTGGAGAGTGCCGGTGGTAGCCGAGGAGCAGCTTGCGGTCCAGGTGTCGCCGTTGTGCCACCGCAGCAGCAGTTCCCACCGGTGTCCGCCCTTCGCTTGCTCGGCCTTCCGTCCCCCGACCCTGCGTCGGTTCCTCCCCGCCCGTCTCCCCCTCTTCCTGTCTACGGCCCTGTTTTCCCTCCGCCGGACTCGTCCCCGGCCCGTCTCCCCCCTCGTTCCCCTCCTGTGTCCCCTCCCCTGACTCCTGACCCGACTCCTCCGTCCCACGTCTGGTCTCACCGTCCCTCCCGTGCTCGTCCTGCCTCGCCTGTCTTGCGCTCCCACCCTATGTTGCTTCGTTCACACGCGTCTCGTCCTCCCCTTCTGCCGTCGCCTCCTCCGTCCTCCCTTGTTGTTGCGCCCCCCCCGCTGTCCGACTACCTTCGTGCCGCTCGTCCTCTCGTTCCTCGGGTCCTTGCCTCCCTCGTTACCGACCCGTCTGTTCCGGTCTCGTGCCTTGACGCTCTTGTCGCTGCTGTCGCTGACTTCACCTCTACCCGCCGCCTTGACTACGCCACCACTCTGGTCTCTGACCCTGCCTGTCCTCCGTCTGTCGGGGGTGCTCCTGCCCTTGGCAGTGACGTCCTGGAGGACCGCCAGTTCGAGCTTGCTTTCCTCTCCGAGGCTGCTCCCCATCTCTGTTCCATGCTACTAGTCCTTCAGAGGTTCAGCCTTCAGTTCTCCTCTGCACAGCCCACCCCTCTGCCTGTAGACCACAGGCTCTCCGCTCCAGTGCCTGAGGAGTTGGTAGAGCCCAGCGGCCCCTACGCAGAGCTGGTGGGTTGCCTCATGTACCTGATGACTTGCACTCGCCCAGATCTCGCATACCCTCTCAGCATCCTGGCTCGCTTTGTGGCCACAGGCAGACACCGACCGCAGCACTGGTCTGCCGCTAAGAGGGTTCTGCGTTATCTTGCTAGTACATCGGGCATGGGGTTAGTGCTAGGAGAACGCAGGCCAGCGATCCTTACTGGGCATACAGACGCTTCGTGGGCAGACGACGCTGAGACTCTCCGGTCTACCCAGGGCTACTGCTTCAGCCTTGGCTCAGGTGCCGTCTCGTGGAGAGCTACTCGCTCCTCGTCTGTTGCACAGTCCAGCTGTGAGGCTGAGATCTACGCCGGTGCCATGGCGGCACAGGAGCTCCGCTGGCTGACCTTCTTGCTCACTGACTTAGGTGAGCGGCCTAGCTCTGCCCCGGTCCTGTTCGCTGACAACAGGGCCATGATCCTCCTGTGTCAGGAGCCTCGACTCGAGGGCAGAGCGAAGCACATTCAGCTGCGGTACTTCCTCCTGCGTGAGCTACAGCAGCGACGTCAGGCTCGCGTAGTACACTTGGCCTCAGGTGCCAACACGGCTGATATCTTTACGAAGGCACTTGCGCCTAAAGATCATCAGCGGCACTGTGTACAGCTTGGTCTAGTTCCTGTAGCCTCTCACTTGCTAGGACCTTGACTTTGTACTGTCCTTTATATGTATACTCAGACTGGACTTGTGTCCTCTCCCAGTGGCTGGACTAGTAGTACCGCCCTGCTCTTGTGCTTGCCTTGTCTGTACTCCTTCTGACTGGTCGCTCAGACCCTTGTCTCAGAGGTTGGACTAGTAGTGCCGCCCTGAGCTGTTTGTTTAGGACTTTCCCCTATGCAGTCTAGGGGGTGTGTCAAACATGTCTATGTGTTATGTTTGCATAGACTGTATAGGGTAGCCTCTTAGAGGGTACAACACTTAGCTATATTGTGTGTACTCTCTCTGTATCACTAACACTTCAATTTCTGATAGTATTATGCAAGTCATATCACTCTCAGCCACATACTCGGCCTGCTGTGGCGTGTGTTACACCGGAACAATCATCCCCATCATTCTCTTTGTTTTGTCAAAGGTTGCATGAAGAGTGCACTACAGAGGTAGAAGAGTAAGAGTACTTCGGCATGAAACACAACTTTTGACAAGGTGGAAGCATAGTTCGACACGGAAGCGTATAAGCAACTCAAGCAAGCACTATCACACATTTTGTACACATGGTGCACACCGGAGGCCCAGCCCAATACGTGGCCCAATCAGAAAGCATCGCCCATTAGCGTTGTCACACGGGCAACGGCCCACTCATCGTGGGCCGTGAACAGAGCCAACAGTGCAGCGTTATCATGACAGCGGTAACAAACATGCGGCACAAGACGAAAGATGTGCGCCGCAACCATTTTCGCCACAAAATTCTAGCCGCGCTCAGAATAGCGCTCCGACGAAGCTCAGCGAGCCTTTCGTTGAGCTCGCAAAAGTACACACGCCTCGCTGGGTTTGTTTGTGGCTTGAGCGTCGCCGCATGAAACCGAGCGCCGACTTGGCAACGAAATGGAGTCGCGATGTCCTGATGCCAGGGTTCGTTCTCAACATCCGACAGCCAACCCAGGAACAGACTTGAAATCGAATTCCCACAATCCATTCAGCAGTTATTGTTGCGACACGAATGTTCAATTCGTAATGTAAGAAATGTTTAGAACACGCCCGTAACATTTGGAACTGAAATGTGACTCCAAACCCTCGCCCCATTTTACTGAGTATAAAAGGGAGCAAACCAAACCAGAAAAACTCACTCAACATCTCACCCGCCAACCACCACTCTAGTGCTACACCAGAGAAACTCACTCTCGCTTGAAAGCGCCGAAACTTAACACAGGGTAACTAAATGAACAATAGCTGGCCAAAATATGCCACTCAAACCTACCCCGCAAAACATCAAAATGGTAACCTTCGTGCCCGTGCGAAAGGCCCACATGTCCGTGACGATGCCGTGCGAAACCCGTGCGCGTTTTTGTCTACCAGCACCCTGAAAAGTTGTGTTCCTCTGTCAGGCTCAAGGTGTAATGCGGATCGTCGCACCAATGCACGCATCAAACAGCAGATTCTGATGCCGAATAAAGCGATGTCTTGCCACCTCACTCGTTCAGCACGTGTTGGAGTCAAGGCAGACTCAAAGCGAGTCAAGCTGATGGAGCGAGTACAGTAACCTGGGCGGGGAATTTAGGTCGGCTCCGTCAACGCTAGACCCGCGCGGTTCGGCGGTGGAAACGAACCGCCCCACGCGATTCGGGGGACTAAACCAACCACCAGATCCGCGCGGGTCGGAAGCGGAATTGACGAGGAAATCTCGCGCTTCAACAAAACTTAAATCTATTTTGAAACGGTCGATTCTTTTTGCCCACGATGTATGGCATGGCCCCGTTACCCAGAACAGTCGATCCCCCCCGACTGTACCGGTTTTCGTTTTGATGTGCCGAATATTGGAAATGTAATTTTGGGTAGCTGTGAAAACATTTGCCGGACATGCATTTGATTGTTGCCCCGCGCAACCGTCAGATCCAGGTATCTGGCCAAAGATACCCATCAGAATCCGTGTTCAGCACTCTATTCTGTCAAAAATCACCCGTCAGAATCCGGGTTCAAACCCTGTTTTTGGGAAAGTTCCCCGTCAGAATCCGAGTACGGCAAAAACCTCACCCGCTATTTTGTTGAAATCCGGACGTTGTGTCCAACATGATTGAGCAGCCCTTAAAGCCGTTGGCCCAAAATGTACAAGATTAATAAAGATGAATCAGACAAAAAGTTGAGCTAGAGAATGAATAGGGGCGTGGAGTAGTGGTGTGAGGGTGGCGAGAGTGGGCAAGCACAACACATTACGAAAACCAATCAGAACAAGCAAATTCGCAAAACGACGACTAGAATAGGTTCCAGACATTTGCAAACGACGACTTGGGGAAATAGAGGTTCGGGAAAGGGAAAGCGGGGGCGCATGCAAGGCGCAGGGGGGAGTGGGGGAAGAATACCAGAGCGGCAAAGTGGCACATGACAAGGACTGTATGTAGTGCATGCGAAGGGGTTTCCTTGTCAGGGGCATGATTTATTGCTCAGTTCCAATCCATTTTTCCTGGTTTTGTCGGTTAGAACACGCGCCATGAAATTGTCTGTGACGTTTTTCTATAGTAGTTACTACTGCAACGCAACTACATAATCCGCGTTGAATACGTCCCGCAGGGCTCGACTATGGGCTAGGTTTTGCTCTCCCAAAAGTCCCAAATTGTACATGCGCGCTTTCAAGTTTCATATCGCTCAATCACCAGTTGTGTCGGGGGTTTGTGTAGAATATGTTGGGGGTGGCGCGAGCGCTTCTTCTGAATTTGGTTGTTTTGGGCTGCAAATTCCATTGTAATTCTCGCTTTGGGGTACAAGGTTACCGCTCGGGGTTGTTCGAGGTTAATAATTTTGAAACACAATTTCTGCAATTTGGGTCAACGGCTTTAATGTGGCGTCACTATTTGTCGTATCACTCCGTATTGGACCCTACACAGCTACCCAAACCAGTTGCCCCAAAAAGAACGTAGTGGCATCTGAACCCAACAGGACAACGGGTACAGTCGGGGGGGGGTCGACCGTTTTGGGTAACGGGGGCATGCCATACATCGCGGGCAAAAAGAGTCGAACTTTTTAAACCATTCTTAATTCTCGTCGAAGCACACCATTTCCTCGAAATTGACTCACCTGAGCCAATTTCGACTTAATTCGTTTTTGACCAGCCAAGAACAACCCCTACGAGCCAATTTTTAGCTTCACTTGTTAGACCTGGGGGGCAATAGCCTCTGGCTATTTGCTAGGTCCCCATGAACACAGCGGAAAAACTAAACTCGATCTGAGAAGTGCATGAGAGCGGGATGATTTTCAGCTCAGAGTTCAACTAGAAAGTTTCACTCCAGAAAGTGGTTACATACGAAAAACAGAACAAGAACATATTAGCATGCAGAAATGTAAAAGGCGACTCGTGTAACGCGTCGCGCGCGTTTCGTCCGAATCTCGGTCGGAACCGATTTCAGTAGCCGACACTGTAGTTGAAATCTACCCTTCAACATTCCGCCGAATACGACCTGAGTTTTGTTGGACATTTTGGTTGAACTGAGTGTGCTCAACATTCTCTCTTCCCTGGTTCCTCCATCCATCCGTTTTTTTGTTGTTGTTTGTTTGTTTGTTTTTTTTTTTTTTCCTCCATCTTCCAACCCTAATCTTACCCGTACGTTCCACCGTCCCTTAGATCTCAACCAACTTAGATCTGTCCTATTATTCCGCCAAAAACTTCGCCTTATAACCGACTTTCCGTGTGTCGAAGTCGGTGCAGCGGTGAACCACTCTTACATCACGCCCTCAAGTGATGGGCTGCCATTTCGCCTCAGTACGATGCCTTATTTGTAGGCAAATAAGCTTCTACGAAGTCGTTTCACATTTTGGGGACAGTGAATCGCCCGACTTGACTCGACTCGAGCCGAATCAGGGAAGCCAAAAAGAAAAACTCGACTCGTCCTTTTGACGAGTTGACTCGTTTCCTCATGCCTAGCTGCGGCAATGTCGATGTACAGGCAGTGGTGTGGCCGCTGGCCACATGGTTGACACCGCCCCCGCCTCCCCCGCCGCCTTGATAACAGCCGCGTGCTTCAAACGAAGTTTTCAGGATTCCCTATATTTTCCGCACCAATCTTTAGACGGGTCCACCATGGATCCAATACAGGCCTTCGCTGACCTCATTGGCACTCCCCGCCCAGCGGCGACTTTTCTGCTTGCGAGTTTAGCCTTCGTGCCGATCGCTTGGCTTCACAGATTCATCTCCTCGCCTACAATCCGCCACGTGTACTGCACAGTAACGGGGCTTCTTCTATCGGCGTGCGTGTTCGGATGGACTGCCGACGCGCACTTCCTCGCGTGCATCGTCTACGCCATAGCCGTCATGCGCCTGTTCCGGAGGCAATGCGGCGTCCTCACGCTCCTGGGAACGTTCGCCTACTTGATCGGATGGTAACTTTTTTTGGAATTCTAAAGACGAAATCGTAGCAATACGGTGTTCTGACATTCCTAGGAACGTTGAGCAAACTGATCAGATGGTAGAATGCTGCTCGTGTTCCTAGGAGCTCTCTTCTTCGTGCTTCTTGGTGTTCAAATCGCCCCCATGCGTCCGTTTTCGTTGGCTTACTGCTACCCCTTGCACTCCACTTCCGCCCTTCGCCAGCCACATCATCATGCGCACTCACGAGACCCGCACGGAGGGCGTGCTCGACTGCACCGGCGCGCTCACTGTCTTCGCTACAAAGCTCACCGCCGTCGCGTATAACTACCAGGACGGGCTCACGCTGCTTAAGGAGAAGGACCAAGGCGCGAAGGCGAAGGACGCGCAGGAGAAGAAAGAACTGACTGAGGAGCAGAGGCGGCGCGAAGAGCGGATGGAGCGCTCGCGATTGGAGCGGCGAAAGGCGGCGCTGGTTACCATGCCTTCGTTGCTGGAGCTGATGGGGTACCTCTTCTGCTTCGGGCTGCACATGACCGGCCCGTTCTTCGAATTCAAGGCGTACGACGACTGGACCACGAAACAAGGGGTACGTACGACGAACGCGTTTTTCAGTATCCGCGTGCTGTGCTGTGCTCTTCTGCTTCGGGCTGCACATGGCTGGACTTCTCTTCGAGTTCAAGGCGTACGACGACTGGACCACGAAACAAGGGGTACGTACGACGAACGTGCTTCCTCTCTGCTCCCGTCTTCCTGCTCGTCTCACCAATCTGTGTGCTCCCATCCCTCCCATCTCCCTCCCATCCCTCCCCTCCCTCCCTCCCTCCCATCCCTCCCATCCCTCCCATCCCTCCCATCCCTCCCATCCCTCCCATCCCTCCCATCCCTCCCATCCCTCCCATCCCTCCCATCCCTCCCATCCCTCCCATCCCTCCCATCCCTCCCATCCCTCTCATCCCCCCCATCCCTCCCCTTCGTCCCTTCCCTTACCACCTGCAGATCTGGTCCCCCACGCTGAAGCAGCCGTCCGTCCTCCCGCCCTTCTTCCGCGCGTTCGTGCAGGGCATCCTGGCGGCGCTCGTCTTCCTGCTGATGTCCCCTTCCCTGGACCTCACACGCATCAGCGACCCCCTCAAGAACCGCGCCTACCCCTTCCACCTGCGCTGGCTCTTGGCGCACCAGGCCAGCCTCGTGTGGCGCTTCCGCGCCTACATCCTCTGGAGCATCACAGAGGCCGCCATGGTCATTGGCGGGCTCGGCTTCACCGGCTGGGAGGCCGCCAAGGGGGAGGCTGTTAACGGGGAGGCCTGCAATGGCGGAGAATGGGGGAAGAAGGAGAATGGGGGTGAGGCGGAAGGGAGGAGGCTGAATGGGGAGGTGGATGGGGATGCGAGCAAGGCGAAGGATGATAAGGCCTGTTCGAGGGCTGTAGGGAAGGGCAAGGCGCTGTGGAGCCGGGCTCGGAACGTGGACATTTTGGGGGTCGAGTTCCCCAAGAGCTGCCTCGACTTCGCCACCACCTGGAACATCAGCTACGGCCTCTGGCTGAGACTCTGTGAGTGATCACCGCTCTTGGCCTCTCTGGACCTCTCTGTGCCTCTTTGCCCCTCTCTGAACGTTTGAACCTCTCTGGACCTCTCTGAACCTTGGCAGATTCGCCACCACATGGAATATCTCCCACAGCCTCGTAGCCCCTGTCGCATTCACTCCCCTGACTTCCCTTGGTTCCTTTCCTTTGCACGCCACGCCTCTCTCTTGCCACGTCATTCGTTCCACATCCTGAGAATGTGCCCCCTCTTTATTCCCTGTCAACTCGCTGATCCGGAGTCAGACGTGTGACAGCACATGTGCCGCCCAGTAGGAAGGCCAGTTGCTCCCTCCCCGCGGTGCTTTATGCCCCTCCACTGCCACTCTCTCTTCCCCATCTCCCCTCTGATCTCTCCCCTGGTCGCCCATTGATGTTTGACCAGACGTGTATGAGCGCATGATGCCACCTGGCAGGAAGGCCAGTTTCTCCCCACCATGCTTCATCCTTGACCACTGCTCGCTCTCTCTTCCCCATCACCCCCTTATCTGACCCCTGGTCGCCCATTGATCCCTGACCAGACGTGTACGACCGCATGGTTCCCCCTGGCAGGAAGGCCAACTTCTTCCACATGCTCGCCACCATGTTCGTCAGCGCCGTCTCCCATGTGAGTGATCTCTATCTCGCATGCTAGTGACCACCCTACGTCCTACCTCCCATCATCATTGCCTGTCTCGCATGCTTGCCACCATGTTCGTCAGCGCCGTCTTCCATGTGAGTGACCCTACCCCTACCTCGCTTACAGCGCCATCTCCCATGTGAGTGAGCCCTACGTTTTATGGACCATGCCCGCCTCGCATGCTCGCCACCATGCTTGTCAGCGCCGTCTCCCATGCGAGAGACGTGCCTCCTACCTCCCATGTACGTGCCTCCTACCTCCCATGTACGTGCCTCCTACCTCCCATGTACGTGCCTCCTACCTCCCATGTACGTGTCTCCTACCTCCCATGGACGTGCCTCCTACCTCCCATGTACGTGCCTCCTACCTCCCATGTACGCGCCTCCTACCTCCCATGTACGTGCCTCCTACCTCCCATGTACGTGCCTCCTACCTCCCATGTACGTGCCTCCTACCTCCCATGTACGTGCCTCCTACCTCCCATGTACGTGCCTCCTACCTCCCATGTACGTGCCTCCTACCTCCCATGTACGTGCCTCCTACCTCCCATGTACGTGCCTCCTACCTCCCATGTACGTGCCTCCTACCTCCCATGTACGTGCCTCCTACCTCCCATGTACGTGCCTCCTACCTTTCACCATCCTTGCCTGGTTCACTTGCTCGCAATCATGTTCTTCAGCGCCATCTCGCATGCACACCACCCATGCCTCTATTTCTCCTCGTGGTTATCCCCACCTGGCACTCACCCCTCTTCCTCTTCGTTACCCCTTCCTTGCCACTTGCAGGGCCTGAATTGGGGCGACTTCATCTTCTTTGCTAACTGGGCGCTTATTGTTGCCAGCTCTAAAGGTGCGTGCTCTGTAAACATACAAAACCAATATACAGCTGGAACTCCTAAGTAGACAAATACAGATCCCTTGAACAATCTGGCAGTCTTTGGCTTCTTGCGAGCTCATACATTTACAGTAGGCACTTTTCACCCTTACCTTCCGTTCCCTTCGTTTCCGTTTTCGACCATCTCTCTATCCGGAACTCATCAGAGAAATCTTCTATTCCTTCTTCGGTACTTTCCCGCTTGCTGGGAATCGCATCCCTCCGTCTATCCGGAATTCAGTCTGTCTCGCTCACATCCTTCACTTCCCTCGCTCAAGCAGCCATCTATCAGGTCACCAGTGGGATACCCAAGGGCACCATCGCCCACCGCATTGTGGCAGTGCTGCACACGCTCTATGGCATCTTTGTGTGCAGCTACATAGCCAGCGCCTTCTGTGTAAGTCTGCATATTCTGCTATTTACCCACTGGCGCTCAAAGAAACCACCTTGCTGCAGTGATTGTTGTCAATCTTACCTATGCCTTGCGATGCCTGCTGTATTCTTCTCACTGCCTCTTTTTCATGTGGGTGTGCTTGCTGTGGCTGTATATGTGCAGGTCATGACACTATCAGGCACATACTCGGCCTACAGTGGCATGTACTACACCGGTACAATCATTCCCCTCTTTCTCATTGTCTTGTCAATGGTGTACAAGCCACGTCGGCCAAAGCGCGTCAAGACAGAGTAGCATACCGTACGTACAAGTCTTTTGACATAGTAGAAGCATAAGATTATAAGGTGAAGGCATAGCTTGACAAAGTACAAGCCTACTCGAACAAGGTAGAAGCACGCACTGGAAAAGTGCATGAATGCATTTTCTATAAGGTGTCAGGAAGCATGTTACGTATTGCAAGTTTACCACATCCCATTGATTACTTATGCCAAAATTCACTAAAGAAATACATGGTTCTAGCAACCTTTCCTTCTTCCCGTCATTAAAGACACCGGACTACAACTGATGCGCTCGTTGGCGCGTTCAGTGCGCTGGATTTCGTCACTGGCTGCTGGTATTTTTTTCCCGCCAGATGCCTGGCATCCTCATTGGGCCTCCACACCTCAGTTCCCTCAGTTCTCCAGTCCAGCCTTCTGCTCATCTCATGCTGCATCTAGCGCCCACTCCAACAGACCATTGCTGGAGGTGGCAGGGTGCTGCTTGTCGCATGGGCGCCGCTTCCTTGCGATCTCTTGCTCGGCGCGCATAGGATCCGTGAGCACCGCGCCACGCGGAACCTGTCCTGCCGACCTGCTGTTGATGCGTGGATAGCAGCACCAGTCATAGATACTGTATCAACACCGACCTCCGACCGTGAGGTGTTTCCGTGCGGCGGGGCAAACGACTATTGATGCTAGTTTTTCTGTCAAGGCACCCACTACAACGATGCATAATGCCGACATGCGCGGATGAGTGATGCCGCCGTGCGTTCCTGGACGTTCAAATTAGAGATCAAGCGCGACATCGGCGGCAGCCAAGGTTAACACCAGACTCAGCGAGATTGCAGGGTTGTTTATATTCAATATCGAGTCTGTTTCTAAATCGGCCATGGGAACACCAGCCTTTCCCGATCTGGGCAAGCACTGCTCGGTGACGTCATGCCAGCAGATCGACTTTCTGCCCTTCACCTGCGACAAGTGTCGCATGGTCTTCTGCCTTTCGCACCGCATGCCGGCGTCGCACGAGTGCCCGCGTGCGACGGTCGGCGACGCTGTGGTGCTGCTGTGCCCGCTGTGCGCCAAGGCCGTGCGATTGGTGGGCGACGAGGATCCAAACGTAACGTGGGCGCGGCACGAACGGTCTGGATGCGATCCAAGTAACCTTCAAAGGTATGCCACGCTGAAATCAGCTTGTAGGTCCCTCGGGAGATGGAAATAAACTTGATACGTTATGTGTGTTCGGAACGCCTCACTACGCTACTGAATGCAGGGTCGCAAACTGACAGTTACAGCTGGAACCGAAAAAGAGGGTAATTTCCATCCAACTTTGCCCTGAGCTACAGCCTGAGCTGTTCCCCACTCCTCCCCATTCCGCCTTTCGCCCTTCTCTTCACAGGGTAGCCAGCAAGCATCGGTGTGCCGCCGCACAGGGGTGCAAAGAGATTTCTTCCCCTGCCAACGCTGTCACTACTTATCCTTCCTGTTGCCCTTTCCCCTCTCCCCCCCTTCCCCTCCCTTCCCCCTTCCCCTCCCTCCCCCCTCCCCCTCCCCCCTTCCCCTCCCTCCCCCCTCCCCCTCCCTCTTTCCCCACACACCTGCCCTCATTTCTCCCTTCAGAGTGGCGAACAAGCGCCGGTGTGCGGCACAGGGGTGCAAGGAGGTGCTGTCCCCCGCCAACACCGTCACCTGCCGCGACTGCACCCGCCAAACCTGCCTGCGCCACCGCTTCGGTGCTGACCATGCGTGCTCGGGCAGCCAAAAAAACTCGCAGCCCGTTTCGTTCTGGGCAGCTGGTGGGGCGTACAGCGAGAAGCTGATGGCAGGCATGCAAGGGGCAATGGCTGGGCTGATGGCGCCTTCTAGTGCTGCTGCTGCTGCTGCTGGTAGCAGTAGTGGCAGCAGTGGTAAGGGAAAAGCAGGCAGCAGAAATAGCAGCACGGGGAACAGGACGTCGATCACTAGCAGCACGGCCAGAGCAAGCAGTGCCGGTGCTGGCGGCAGCGGTGTTGGCGCTGCAGCTAGTGATCTCAACACGGTGCGAGGGACAGCGGCCAGGCGTCAGAAACAGGGCACAGGGCAAGCGGTATCGGGGGCAGGCGCTCAGGCAAGAGGGGGGTCAGCAGAGCAGCAACAACCAGGTGCAGGCGTAGCCAGGGCTGGAGGGGGGGTTGGTGGTGGGGCGGAGGTTTGTCCTCAGTGTGGGGCCAGGTTTGGGGATGCTGTAGCACTAATTAACCATGTGGAGACTGTGCATGCACATGGAGGGACAGGTGTCAGTGTGAAATTTGGCGGTAGTGCTGGGCCCGGCAGCTTAGCAGCAGGGGGGAGCAGAAGTGGTGCAACTCGAGCAGGTGGTGGTGGCCAAGGGCCTGAGCTGTGCCCGAGGTGTAATAAACGCTTTCCGGACCCCGTTGCTTTGGTTCGACATGTTGAGAGAGACCATGAAGGGGCGGCTGGGACCGACAAGTGCACAATCTGCTGAACTGCAGAGGGTGTGCATGGGAAAAGCTACAAGCGAATTGTGACTGTAGTTAGATGTCATCATTCTCTATGACAAAGCTCTTAGCAGGATTGTACTGCAGTGTTTTGCCCTGAGCTTGTGAGTCAAAGCGAATCGTCTCAAAGGAACGGATTTTTTTGGGTTGCGTAGCAACCCTAAAAAATCGGTTTCACATTTCGGAGCATTAATATGAACAGTAAATTTTAAGAATTTAGTTAACTGTTCGATGCAACTCCAAAATATGAATCCGAAATGTCCAAAGTGCTCCATCGCGTCGATAAGTACGGCGGATGGAACAATCAGACCGCATGACACATTTCAACAAATTATTATGTATAATTAAACATTCTGTAGGATTGCAAATGACAGGAAACGAGTGCATATAGGCATTACGGTAATAGTGTTGCAGTAGAGATTGATGGGGTGCACGATGACAGCGGAACTGCCCCGAACACGATGACAATCTCTAATTGCAACAACTAGCCAATAAGCAGCACGCTCGGGGCAAACGCAATCCAAACACACCTCGTGCCAGCCACCACATCTCGTCGATACATACAGTGATGGAGTGAACATGCAAGTACGATAGGATTGTGAGTGCTACGAAACGTTTGCATATATGCGTCAATGCTGCAACAGAGATTGATGGGGTGCGCAATGACAACAGAGTTGCCCCACGCACGATGACAACCTCAAATTGCAACACCTTGCATATAAGCAGCACATCCGAAGCAGACACAATCCACGCCTTATCACATTTGCTGCCACACGCACTATGCACATGGGGACTAGGAGCAGCAGGCACTGTTCAAATTATATTTTTATATAATTGTAGGCTTGGTAGTTATGCTACTAACTGCATCCTACTGTAGGGGGGACAACCCCCTTCTTGTACTTCATTCTCTTCTAGTCTACCAACTTCTCTCCCGACACTCTCGTCCAACCTCTAGCTAAACCCTTGGCCGCCATTTCATGGCGGCCTCCTCTGTTCTTCGTAGTTCAGACTTTAACATGGTATCGAGAGCGGGATGCCCTTCCTGGGCCTGCTCCCCTCCGTGCTTTCCGCTGCGTTCTCGTGCGTTCGTCGCTCCTGCCGTGCCGCCGTGGCGGCCATGTCGCATGGCTGCCACGTCGAGCAGCCGTGCTGGGCTTGCCGCCCTGACGTGGCGGCTCCGCCGTTCCACCTCCCCGTCGCGCCCCTCCTGGGCCCTGCCGTGCCTCCTACCCACGTCGCGCCCCTCCTGGGCCCTGCCGTGCCTCCTAGCCCAGTCGCGCCCCTCCTGGGCCCTGCCGTGCCTCCTAGCCCAGTCGCGCCCCTCCTGGGCCCTGCCGTGCCTCCTAGCCCAGTCGCGCCCCTCCTGAGCCCCGTCCCGCCTGCTCCTCCCTCCAGTAAGCGCCGCGCCTATGGCGCCGCGCTGAAGTCCTGCAGCCCCACCACAGCAGCCCCACCAACTCTCCCTCCCCTGCATCTCCTCCTGCTCCTGCCGTAGCTGCTGTCTTCGGCTCGGTCGTCGCCAGCCCGTGCCACACCGCCGAGAGCCCTCAGCCGCCGCAGTCGCCGCCTGTCCTCATCGACACAGCCGCCTTGAGCACGAGCTCCGCCGCTGTCGTCATTGAGGCCGCCCAGATGCGGCCAGCTGCCTCTCGACCGGGGGTGTCATAGCCTAGCACGAGGGGTCGATACCCGGCTGCTCACGAGAATGAGGGTGTCCGGGGTTAGGGGGTGTGTGTGTGGGTTGTGTGGGTTTGCCACTACCAAGCCTAGGGGGTGTGTTCAAATTATATTTTTATATAATTGTAGGCTTGGTAGTTATGCTACTAACTGCATCCTACTGTAGGGGGGACAACCCCCTTCTTGTACTTCATTCTCTTCTAGTCTACCAACTTCTCTCCCGACACTCTCGTCCAACCTCTAGCTAAACCCTTGGCCGCCATTTCATGGCGGCCTCCTCTGTTCTTCCTAGTTCAGACTTTAACAGGCACACCCCGAAACAGACAGTATTTATCAAACCCATGCACACCCCTCAAATGCAAACAACAATCAAACAAACACATGCACCATCGCAAATAGCCTAATAGTTGGAGTTCCCAATATCCAAATTAGAGAACAGTGGTAACGCCGTGCAATCAGAAATCTGTCCCCGCAAGATGTTCCAACAAGCAATAGAAATTGGTGTTGGAAGATGTTCTTTGTCTTGCGGCTGCAACAGACAGCGCGTGCTGTACGACCTGCACAGTACACCAGTGAATCATAGAAACACAACATACGTTCAAAAGTGGACCACATAATTTGTTTATATGCACTTATGGTGTTGGATGTTGCGTTTGGGGTTTCAGGTTTGGTGCGGAACATGGGATGAAACTCAGAAATATAAAAAAACGAGAGTAGGCAAAACTCACGCCGACCACATTGATTTCTTAAGACAGTAAATAAGACAGTAAACAGCCAGACATTCTATGCCCATACATGCATACAACCATGCATGCTATGCCCATACATGCATACAACGTATGCTATGCCCATACACACATGCAGTCAGACATGCTATGCCCATACACACATACAGCTACGCATGCCATCCCCATACACACAATCAGCCTGGCATGCTATCCCCATACATGCATACGGCCAGGCACGTTATGCACATACACGCATACAACTAGGCATGCCATGCCCATACACACACACAGCCAGGCATTCTACGCCCATACATGCATACATCCATGCATGCTATGCCCATACATGCATACAACTAGGTATGCTATGTCCATACACACATACAGCCACGCATGGTATGCCCATACACACAAACAGCCTGGCATGCTATGCCCCTACATGCATACAGCCATGCATGCTATGCCCATATATGCATACAACTAGGTATGCTATGCCTATACACACATACAGTCAGGCATGCTATGCCCATACACACATACAGCTAGGCATCCCATCCAAATACACACATGAAGCCAGGCCTACCATGCCCATACACCCACACAACCAGGCATGCTATGCCCATATACACATATAGTCAAGCATGCCATGGCCATACACACATACAGCCAAGCATGCTATGCCCATACATGCATACAGCCATGCATGCTACGCCCATACATGCATACAATACAACTAGGTATGCTATGCCCATACATGCATACAGCCAGGCATGCTACGCCCCTACATGCGTACAGCCAGGCACGTTATGCCCATACACACATACAGCCAGGCATGCTATGCCCATAAATGCATACATCCATGCATGCTATGCCCATACATGCATACAGCCATGCATGCTATGCCCATACATGCATACAGCCATGCATGCTATGCCCATACATGCATACAACTAGGTATGCTTCGCCATACACACATACAGCCAGGCATGCCATGCCCATACACACATACATCCAGGAAAGCTATGCCCGTACATGCATACAGCCATGCATGCTAGGCCCATACATGCATACAGCCATGCATGCTATGCCCATACACACATGCAGCCAGGCATGCTATGCCCATACAACACACATACAGCTAGGCATGCCATCCCCATACACGCATACAGCCAGGCATGCCATGCCCATACACACACACAGCCAGGCAAGCCATGCCCATACACACACAGCCTGGCATGCTATGCCCATACATGCGTACAGCCAGGCACGTTATGCACATACACGCATACAACTAGGCATGCTATGCCCATACACACACACAGCCAGGCATGCTATGCCCATACACGCATACAGCAAGGCATTCTATGCCCATACATGCATACAGCCATGCATGTTATGCGCATACATGCATACAACTAGGTATGCTATGTCCATACACACATACAGCTAGGCATGCCATCCCCATACACACATACAGCCAGGCATACCATGCCCATTCACACACACAGACAGGCATGCTATGCCCATATACACATACAGTCAGGCATGCCATTCCCATACACACACACAGCCAGGCATGCTATGCCCATACACACATACAGCTAGGCATGCCATCCCCATACACACATACAGCCAGGCATACCATGCCCATACACACACACAGCTAGGCATGCTATGCCCATATACACTTACAGTCAGGCATGCCATGTCCATACACACACACACACAGGCATGCTATGCCCATACATGCATACAGCCATGCATGCTATGCCCATACATGCATACAACTAGGTATGCTTCGCCATACACACATACAGCCAGGCATGCTATCCCCATACACGCATACACCTAGGCATGCCATCCCCTTACACACATACAGCCAGGCATACCATGCCCATACACACATACAGCTAGGCATGCTATGCCCATACACACATACAGCCAGGCATTCTTTGCCCATACATGCATACAGCCATGCATGCTACGCCCATACATGCATACAGCCATGCATGCTATGCCCATACATGCATACAACTAGGTATGCTTCGCCATACACACATACAGCCAGGCATGCTATCCCCATACACGCATACACCTAGGCATGCCATCCCCATACACACATACAGCCAGGCATACCATGCCCATACACACATACAGCTAGGCATGCTATGCCCATACACACATACAGCCAAGCATTCCATGCCCATACACACACACAGCCTGGCATGCCATGCCCATACACGCGTACAGCCTGGCATGCTGTGCCCATACATGCATACAGCTAGGCACGTTATGCACATACACGCATACAGCTAGGCATGCTATGCCCATACACACATACAGCCAGGCATTCTATGCCCATACATGCATACAGCCATGCATGCTATGCCCATACATGCATACAGCCAGGCACGTTATGCACATACACGCATACAGCTAGGCATGCTATGCCCATACACACATACAGCCAGGCATTCTATGCCCATACATGCATACAGCCATGCATGCTATGCCCATACATGCATACAGCCATGCATGCTATGCCCATACATGCATACAGCCATGCATGCTATGCCCATACATGCATACAACTAGGTATGCCATGCCCATACACACATACAGCCAGGCATGCTATGCCCATACACACATACAGCTAGGCATGCCATCCCCATACACACATACAGCCAGGCATGCCATGCCCATACACACGCACCAGTCAATGTTGATAAGGTTGCGGCACATCACGTTGCCCACTACTGCTGGGTTGAACGCATTCACCT